CCCGTCCCCTCGCCCCCCACAAACATGTGGCTAGCCCAGCTGGCTCCACAGATCCCAGCACAACACCAGCGCCACCCTTCGGGGACACACAGGACCCACTGCACCTCCCAGAGCCAGTGCTTGACCCGGGGCCACGCTGTGGTGCATGAGGCCATGCTGCACTGCACGGGGCTGATGCGCTTGCATGGAGCCGACGTGGTACACGGGGCTGATGTGGTGTAAGAGGCCATGCAGTGGTGCACAGGCCTGACGTGGTGCATGGGGCCGACGCGATGCACCGAGCTGATGCAGTGCATAGGGCTGATGCAGTGGATGGGGCTGATGTGGTACACGGGGCTGATGTGGTGCATTGGGCTGACGTGGCACATGGCGCTGATGTGGTACATGGCGCTGATGCGGTGCATGGGGCTGAGGCGATGCACAGGGCTGATGCGGTGCACGGAGCCGATGCGGTGCATGGGGCTGATGTGGCACATGGAGCTGATGCGGTGCATGGGGCTGACGGGGTGCACGGGGCTGACGTGATGAATGGGGCTGATGTGGTGCATAGAGCTGATGTAGTGCATGAGGCTGACGCGGCGCATGGGGCTGATGTGGCACATGGAGCTGATGCGGTGCATGGGGCTGATGCGGCGCATGGGGCTGATGTGATGAATGGGGCTGACGTGGTGCACGGAGCTGACGTAGTGCATGGGGCTGACGCAGCGGTGCGTGGGGCTGATGTGGCACATGGAGCTGATGCGGGGCATGGGGCTGATGCGGCGCATGGGGCTGATGTGATGAATGGGGCTGACGCGGTGCACGGGGCTGACACGGTGCATGGGGCTGATGCCAGCAGCTGAGCCGGGGCACCGCGTGGCACTGCCAGGCCAGCACAGCCCTGCAGCCGCAGCCGCCTGCCTGCGCAGTGGCTCACAGCCTGCCTGCTGCTCAGGAGGATTTGTGCTGCGTGGTTGGGTTTGGTGTTATTTTCCTTCCCCGCATCCCTCCTTTCTTCCCTGCCTTTTCCCCTTTCCTCCCCCTTTCCCTTGGCTGGCAGGGACACGGCAGGGACGGATCGGAACCCTCTTGAAGGCAGCCCAGGACTTTCCGTGGCAGGGGACCCTTGGTAAGCACCCAAGACCCCCAGTGCCTCGGCCCCGGGGACAGCGGGCTTCTCCCGACCCCCCGCACCCCGGTCTCGCTTCCCATCTGCTGCTC